TAATCATAAAAAATCATTGTGTGAAAAAAAAAATTATCAATAAAAAAAAAAAAATGAAAATATTGTTCTATTTAATTTGTAAGTTAAGCAACAATTTCCTCATCCTCTGCATGGAATTTGATTTCGTTGTATTCACCACCCAAATACTCCAACTTTGGTGTGCCTTTCTTGATTTCATTCAGCAAATCTTCAAATTCTTTAGGATTATCAATGAAAAATTTTGATATCCTTCGGTTGAGGAAAACTGAATAAGCATTATTCAAATGGAGGATCACACTCATTCCATGCTTGGTTTTGACTTTGGAGGCAGCTGTGATGGTGTATAAATAGTTGCGTTTCAATTCAGATATTTTCACTAAGAGAAGTTCTTTGAACTCTGCAATAGTATTCATCACATTGAAATCTGCTTCATCTGCTTTATTTTCAACTTTCACGTTTGAATCAGGATGTAGGCGAAGATTGTTGTATTTCCCACCAAGATATTCCAACGTTGGTGAGCCCTTCTCAATATGTTGTTGGAAATTCTCGAACATCTTGGGATTTTCAGCGAAATACTTGGCCAGTCGAGTATTCACGAAAACTGTGTGAGTATCTGAGAGATGAAGAATAACACCAACTCCATACTTTGTCTCCACTTTGCGAGCTGCAGTGATGATATAAAATGCTCCAGCTTCCAGATCCGCCAGTTTGATAAGAGGAAGATTTTTCATTTGCGCCACAATGTTTATTTTGTTGAAATCCATGATGATTTTTTTTGTTTTCACGTGGGTATGATAATTAAGCTTAAATTCGAGTCTTCTGCAGATTGGGGCAGAGTACTTTGATGTCACTTCGGTACTGTATAACTTGTTTCACTTTTTGAATGTTTTTCAAGAGAAGGTCTAAACGTTTCTTTAATTCCCGTCGTTTGAAGCTGTCCTTCATGGAGAGTGACAAGATGAACTGATGATATGTGCGGGAATTTTTTCGTTTATATACATAAATCCCCCACTCTTAAACCTTTCTTTGTTCAATAAATAATTTTTTACATTATTATTAATAACGTTTGTTTCTACGAGCGGTAATCATCAAAGGACTGATAATCTTAAGTTCAGGCAAAAATTCTTTGCATATATACATACTCCCTCCCCTTCTTTTTAAAATAAATATTTATATATTGATATCGTTATCAACAACAATTTCATATGAAGGGGGGCGGCAAACGAGAAAGTACCGGAAAACTCAAGTTCAGACGTGTCAGGAAAATGTTTTTTAAAAATAAATGTTTATATAGTGATATCATTATTAACAATGATTTCCCACGAATGGGCGCGGCAAACAGGAAAGTACCGGAAAACTCAAGTTCAGACATGTGACAGGAAAATGTTTTTTAAAATAAATATTTACATATTGATATCGTTATCAACAACAATTTCATACGAAGAGGGGCGGCAAACGAGAAAGTACCGGAAAACTCAAGTTCAGACATGTCAAGTGGAGCCAGGTGTCAATGTTTGAAGAAGAGGAGCTAAATTACCCCTTATTATGGAGCCCCTTCTATGATTTCTACAGTTGCGAAATAATTAACCCCTTCACTCACCCCCTCGCGGGGTGGATTGACCAGTTCCACCGAGAAGGTCCTTTGTAACGCAAAACCGCGAATTAAATTGATTAACCAGCGAATTAAATAACCCTTTCATCACTTTGACGGAAAAAATCGCGAATTAATTGATTAAACCGCGAATTAAACTGCAACCACGCGAATTAAACCGCGAATTAAACCGCGACCGCGAATTAAACCACTTCGAATTAACCCTTTCATCACTTCGAGGGGGAAAATCACGAATTAATTAATCAAGTTGGGCCAGAACCCGTATTACTACACTACTTACGGCATCATTATCCCTCCCTTCTGTACATTTGAGAAGGGCTGGCTATTAATTAAACTGATGAATTAAATTAAACTCATTAAATTAAATCAATTTAATTTAATTTATTTTAATTATACTATAATAATTCTTTTCAAAGGTTGAAAATAATTATCGATAATGGTTGATAAAATTTAATGTGAATAGTATAATAATAGTTAATTAAATTATCCGAAAAACTTATTAAAATTAATGTCAGGTGGACCGGATCTGAATCTGATCATTTTCTCTTCAATTGACCCCGTTCAAATGCCGATTAAAGACATCAAATCCGAATTTGATCAAATTGCGGTCAGGCAGCTGACCTCAGGGTAAGATCGTGCCTACCTGATCAGAACTTGACCTGAATCAACCTGCAGTTTTTCGGGTCCGATCTACTGGATCAAAACTTGGTCAGGCTCTCATCAAGCATTATCTGATCATGTTTACCTGATCAGAACTTGATCTGAATCCGCCTGTAGTTTTTCGGATCTGATCTCCTGGATCAGAACTTGGTCAGGTTCTCATAAGGAATCACCGGATCAGTCGAACCTTACAAAAACCTGATCAAGTTCTGATCGTGCTTCAGGTGGGCCTGAAGCAATTCCCACTCGGGCGATGACACCGATTTTATTCATTGGGAATCAAAGGCGACAGGAATTTTGTTTACAAGCGAAAAAAAACGCAAAATTAAAAAAAAATTATAACTTGTTCAAGAAATTTTATCTTGGACTAAAATGTCAACTGAAGCCTTATCTTATGATATAGAATTGAGAAAATAATCATGAACAAAATCGAAATTCAATTTATAGAAATAACTAGTATTTACAAGAAAAATTATAATCTGACAATAATGAGTATTTTTTTGAATCAATGCAGCTATTACACGATTAATTTCCATATTGACTCTAAAATATGCCGTAAAATACTTCATTGGTAATATCAAATTTTTGTAATTTTTCTCAAATTTCCCAGTAGGGGCCTCAGTCAATCAACTTAGAAAATTCATAAAAAATTGACGGATCAAATGGCAAATCATCAATTATATGTCAAATTCAATGGTGAACATGTTTCGTTTGAATCATTCTCCTCTATCTCGATCGCCCGAGTGGAATTTTTAGTCAGGTCTTGATCAGACACTGAGGACCTATTCTCGAGTGGATCGGAAACATTTCCGAGCTCGGATGTGGCTCCATAGATGCAACGCCTATGTGATTCCTATACACCATTCGTATACGGTGCCACTTCCGTAAACATTTCCGATCCACTCGAGAATAGGCCCCCTGATCAGGTTACCTTAGCAGATTCTGATCAGGTATGTTACGCTATAATTTTGGATTTTCCGCTAGGGTTTTGCTGCCTACTTTCATCAGGCATTAATTAAATTTCAATTTTTTGAGAAAAAATTAGTAACTTCCTAGCCGGGAATCGAACCCGGGACCTTCCAATGTCGTGTCGGGGGCTCTTACTTTTTTTTTTAACCATGTTTTTATTTAATTTTAACAATTGGTATTTACAGTTATTTACAATATTTACATTTAAAAAAAACAGGTACATGAAAAAACTTGATGATAAGTAACTGAGTTATTATAAACAAATGGTCACTTTTTGACTCTCTAGTTTAATAAATTTTCTGGTATTTAATTACTAATACTTCGGCAGTCGAGAATGTATTTTTGTTATTATTTAGTTCAAATGCCATGTTAAAATTAAATGTCAGTTAGTAATTTGTTAACTGCATGAATTGTTGAGTGCTGATGTCGGAACCCATATTGATTATCAGGTATGATCTTATTTTTATTAACATAATGGAGGATTGAGTTGTTTATTATTGCTTCGTATACTTTGCTCAATGCAATACTAATGGGGCGATAGCTCACTGGTTCGTCTAGACTCTTTTCTTTTTTATGAATGGGTATAACAATGGCGGTTTTCCATGTTTTAGGGAAGTAGAAGTTGTTTAGTGCGTTATTTATAATTATAGTTAGATCTCTGATCATTGTGTCTGGTAAGTGTTTTATTACAATTGAGGGGATTCTATCAATTTCGCTCGATATTTTGTTAGGTAGGTATTTAAGAATTAATTTAACTGAGGTAATTGAGGTAAAGTAGTTGTCGTAGTCGTTGATTGAATCCGCTCGGGAAGCGAGACTGTTAATGTTGAAGGTAGTTATTGTTTTGTTATTTCTGATATCTGAGTTTAACTCAGTTCTGAAGTCGTTGACTTTATTGTCCACGATTTCTTTTAGTCTGGAGTTTTCGTTCAGATATCTGGGGGAGTTTACACGTTGGTAATACGCGCCTACTACGTTTATTATATCGGGATCGTTATTGATAATGAATTTATCATCTTTCATTGGTATTTTATCAATTTGACAGGAAGCTTCTTGTAAAAGAGTTTCATTGTTTGTGAGAATTTTGAGCTCTTTTATTATTTGTTTCTTTTTCGGTAGAAAGATGTTATTTATCGTCGGCATGAATTTTTCAGTGTCTTTGTAATTTATTGTTTTGTATATATTTTGCCAATGTTTTTCAACAGCTGAACTGAATTCATTGAGTTTATTTTTACAGGTGTTTATGAGTTGTTTAACGCGTTATGTTTAGGGGTGTCTTATATTAGGATCTATTTTTAAGCATCTGTGATAAAGAGTTAGTAATTTAGATTTAGTTTTTTGTAATTTATTGATTTTTTTGTTTGCATATTTAGTGATATTTCCGGAGGGTTTTTCCTTAGGGATCTGAGAGTCAAATGAGTTTACAATGAAATCTGTGAAGTTTTTAATGTAATCATTTATTTCAGTATTTGCTAAATTTCTGTCGTTGGGAATTATAAGTTCATAGTTATCTTTAAGATAGGTTGAGTATGATTCCCAATTAGTATTTTTATATATGTAATAAAATTTTTCTTGAGTTGGAGGGCAATTGACTAATAAATTATCGTCAAGGTCGAAGTCTAATAAAATAGCTTTGTGATCGCTATCATAAATAAGAGTTTGAGTTTTTTCATTGACTAAATGTTTAACTGTCAGTCTGGAATCTATCGGAGCCAGATCCAAGTAAGATCGAGACTCTATATATGTGAAATCGTTAGGAGGAATGAGATGAACTTTATACCTTTGATCGTTTCTTAACTCCCAGTCTCGGAGATGTCGTCCTCGATCATTATTAGTTGAATCACCGTAGTCTTAGTGTCTGGAATTTAGATCTCCTAGAATTATGTAGTAATTATTAATGTGTCCCAGTTTCAGATTATTGAACAATGAGTCGAGTTCGTCCAAGAAGATCTGTTTCATCTTAACTGCATTGGTGGCGTATGTGCTGACAAAAAAGATAGACTTATTATTTTCAGACATAATTTTAATAATAGTAAATTCCAATACTGTATTATTAATTGAGCTGGAGTAATTGATGATCGTATACGGAATAGATTTTTTAATTATAATTCCAGTGCCACCTGAGAATTTGGAGTTTTTCCTGTCGTTTTTTATGAAATCATATTTATCAAAATTAATCTTATGATTATGGTTTAACTTCGTTTCACCTATTAAAGTGATATCAATGTCGTTCTCTTGTATAAAGTTTTGAAGGAAATATCTTCGTTGCTGTCTGACTATTGAGTTGACATTGATGTAAGCAACTCTCAAATTATCTAGTTTAAATTGATTATCTATATTATTATCTGAGTTATCATTATTCGCGATGTTGGTCATCGATAACAGGATTAAGATTAAGATGTTCTAGTATTTTATTAATATTCCTAGTATTTGTGTCGACTCGGCTAGAGATTCCTGTGACTTGGCCGGAGATTCCGGTGACTTGATCAGAAATTTTAGTAATTTGACCGGTAAATTCATTTAATTTAATTCCTAACGCAGTAAGGATTGAGTCCTTTATCATATTGGCCCAGGGGGGTGGGGTATCGGAATGATCATTATTGGGTTGAGAGTGTTGGCTCGATTGGGATTGAGAATAGGAAGGAGTGGGTTGTGTATGTGGGTGTAGAACTGTACTCTGTGAATTATTTTGATATCTAGGGAGTGATTTGAGTATCGGAGGGGGTTGAGAGGTTGATCTCTTTTGGGATTTCACTGTGTCAGCAAAGCTCACAGTGTTATTCACTCTTTTGGAAAAGTTATTGATTTTTGCCTCTCTGATTTGTTCGTTAGTTTGATTTTCGTTTTTTCAAAGGGTAAGAGCTTCTTTATAAAAGGGGCAACCTTTGTAATTAGCGGGGTGGCCATTCTGTTTGGAGTTGGCACATTTAGGTAAAGCCCTATCTGAGTTTTTATCAATGGAACATGCGTTCCTGTCGTGCGAGAGGTACTGCAATGGTTAAAGCGCTGGCACCTTTTACATTGGTACAGGCTGTTTTACATTTCATAAGTTCATTAACTGAGGAATTACTCGATAGTTGGACTAGGTTATACAAAATTATCGTTGTCTTTCCTAAATTGGGTTTTGGTAACTTTCAGGATGGAAATCTTTGGAATCTTTATGTCCTGAAGTTCTTTTAGGATTTCCTCATCCGTAAAATCACCAAAGAGATCTTTTAGTACAATTGTTTTGGTTTTTCTTCTTTCGGGGTATAAGAATAAAATTCTAAGCTCTCATTGGTTAATAGTTCTTTAACTATTTTGTGCATTTCGGAATCTGCAGTAAAGATTGTTATGCAATTGGATTTATTAGGTTGTTTCAGATAGAATCTGTTTTTGTAATTCTTAGAGGAATTTAGAATTAAAGCCGAGAGGCCTTTTATGGTTTGGTTATAACAATGTATAGGAGGGGGTCGCTGACCTGAACTCTTCCCGCTTTGTTGTGTCGCTGTTCGTTGACTCTGGATTCGTTGACTCGTGGTTGTCTCGGTATCAGTGTTGGCGGGCGCACTTGTACTCGGCTGGCTCGTGGCGCCTGGCGCTGAAGCATTGTCCTCGGGGTCAATGACTATTGTCTCTCTCTCTTCCGCAGCAACAGGTAATCCCGTGAAGGCGTTGCGAGTGGGAATGGACGTTTTCTTTGTGTTGAGTAGCGATCGGCGGGGTGATACCCTCGTGTGTTTGGGTTTCATCCAAGCGTTATCTGGTTTCTCGGAAAATGCCGCCATATTCTCTGAATTATTTTGTGAATTCAGAGAATACTCATCCTCGGAGTTGTAGTCTGTGTCTTCTGAATTCGATTCTTTTTAAGAATCGTAAGGTTTTCTAGCTGGTGGTACTGCTGGGCTCTTGTTTTTCCCATAAAGAGATCTTATCTCTTTAATTTCTCTGTCGAGATTTGCGGTGACGCGTCGCTCCAATCTATCAGACGTTAGATTAAGTGGGAATTTTTTCACCACTTTACCTGGAGTTGGATTATCAGGTGACCGGCCTTTCCTCTTGGATGATGGAGTTGTTTGAGGGATATACCCTCGACCTCTACCTCTGTTGGCACGTAGAGGTTTTGATATCTGGATATGCTGGCTATTATTCGCTATTTTACTGAGACTTCTCGGAGTTTTCTGGGCTGTTTTTACACAGTTAACATAGGTTAACTAAGCACAGAGTTGATTCTTTAATTAAATGATGGTGTATTAGAATTAGAGAACACTATAGGAGCTAATTTGATGGTCTTTAAATTGCCCCGTTTAGTCGAGCTGTATGCGGACGCTCGCCAGTGACGAGACCACGTCCGTACGCTTCGACTGTCAGGTGCAGTCTCTCGTCGGGTGCTCTTAATTTCACTCTCAAATTGAATTATACCGGAGTGGAAATTTTAGTCAGGTCTTGATCAGACACTGATCAGGTTACGTTTTCAGATTGTGATCAGGTATGTTACGCTATAATTTTGGATTTTCCACTCGGGCGAGTGTGCCAATAAACGCATTGCAGCGCCCGAACATCCGCGCAAGTGTTACCGTGCTGCCCACTTCTCTCCCATCCATGATAACTCTTCATCTATCGTAGTTAGGAGAAAAAGTTATACAATAAAAAATATGTATTTTTACATAACAAACGTCTTTTGTTTGAAATTTTATTCTCTATCTGCAACCGTTTCCATGATATGATCGATTAAACAATTAAAATGTTACAAATAATTGGACCCGACCACAACTTGTAAAAATTGACGGCGGATTCGGATTCACCACTTTCGTTAAGATAAATTCGATAGATAAAATGTAATTTTTTTCCTAGCACATAAAGAAATAGGATTAGCGTAGGGCGTACTATTTCTATTTCCACTGTAAAAAATAGCTTGAAACAACTTTTTGGTAGTATAAAATTTTGGTGAATTTTTTCAGATCTTCAAAATGGGGTTTTTGTTAATCTAATTCAAAAATTGATAGAAAATTGAAGAATTGATAAAAAAAATCTAAAAAAAAATCAGGGTGGATTTTTCATCGAGTAGAATCATGAAAGAAAAAATGAAATGAATCTGAGATGGTCAGGGTTTAAACAAGTCTAATTGATAAAGAATGCCCCATATACACAACGTTTCTACTATACCAGCGGTAGCGGGCTGGAGGGTTGTTTAGATGTAAAATCTGTACCACCTACTATCGCTTGTAGAGAAATTGTATATGGAATCGTCGCATTGAAACACAATTTATGAATAGAATTACGAAAATGTTCATATGTTCATATGTTCATAGATGAGACAGGCCTTTTTGTTTTAAATAAATATTCGACTAAATAAACCAACAAAAACACTGGTTCGACTAAGGGCAGAAGGCCTCCACTGGCGCGGCCTGCGACAAGGGCTGCCAGGGCTCAAGAAATCCAAATTATTATAATTCAATTCGATAAAATGATTAGTTACCTGGGCGCCAGTTAGTTTATCAACAACTATCAACGTTTTCGCGACTCATCTCAGGGAGTAGAAGTTAGAAGCCAAAATAGTCGACGTAGAGAGAGAGGGAGAGAGGGAGAGAGAGAGAGAGAGAGAGAGAGAGAGAGAGAGAGAGAGAGAGAGAGAGAGAGAGAGAGAGAGAGA